AGTGACCGTTTCACTCATGGTTTTTGCCCATGTGCTTTCTGGGTAAAAATCAATCGAGAAACACATCCCCCGATGCAGAATAAAAATGTAGCTCTTTACTGTGGGCCCTTTGTCTAACAGCGTGTGACTCTTTCTCGACCTTGGTAAAGCGTCTCAACACTATATGTCATGTTAAGGCTTTGTTGCAAACAGCTGATATCTTTGCAATGTAACATTGCTTCTGTACTTGAAGTGGTTTTATTTTAACTGAAACCTGACTGTATTAGAAGGGTGCAACCAGGTAATATTTGAAAGTAACTATTGTGATTGTGAAATTAGTTATTGAGAAACTATTGGTACCAAAGACAAACATTTATTTAAAATATTTTAAGTTTATATGTTACAATCACATTTAGTTCACTTGTAAAGGTTATGGTGCATTTCAGGTCCATCCTGATATTTAAACAAAAGGTTAATATCCTTAACTTTTCTTTAAAGCTTCATTCTAACCTATAAATAAAGGTAGACAACTCTTCTGCATAAGATTTAAACAGAAGATGTTCTATTATGTAGTTTAAAATGATTTTTGTTGCATTTTTAAAACATCTTCATTTATAAAGTAATAATCTAAGTCTTCTGTGTTTTTTGATGCATTTTATTCTTTTTACAAAAACGTGTATCTGAAAAACTAACGGTTTTTGGTGATTTTTGTAAAGAAAAAAATGAATAAAGCCACTTTAGTAAATAGAAAATAATATAGGAGGAAAAGAGTATTTGAAAAACATAAAATAGTTTCCTGAGGCGTATCTGCTTGGTAGCGTTCTATAATAGAATAAAGAAATCATGGCATAAATTAAGTATGAGAGATTAAATTAGCAAACAAAATTATTTGTGCAGTTATGTTGAAACACTTTATACATCTTAATATTTCTTTTGAATGTCAAAGTTTAAGTGACATTTCCAAGAAAAAAAATATGCGATTTAAAATTTTTTGCCAAAATGAACTAAAAAAAATAAAGAACTTTTAAAATGTTGGAAATAAAAATTTAGAGAATACATTTTTATCTTCCTTTACGAATGGATGAAATTATGAAGATATGTTGATTCAGTTATTCTTTGGATAAATCTCTGGTATTCTGTGTTTTTACCAAATTACCTCCCTTGTCTACGTGTCTATTAGACTCCAGTACCTTCCATAAAGCCTCTAAATTTTGCTGTTTGGACTAGAGCTGGGTGATGTATCCAGTATATTTTATGTATACTTTATGTATCAGGATTCTGTTGGACACCAGTCCCTTCCATTAAGCCACTAAATTAAGCTCTGTTGCTGAAGAAGATGGCGGCTCCTCCAGAGCTTCTGGATCCAGATCTGATTAAGTAGCAGAGCAGACCTCCAGTCAGCATCAACATCAAACCAGTAATAAAGCCGATATAAGTGCACACTCCCAGCTTCACTGTCTTTGGTGCATTTCTAAAATTATTTGAAAAGCAGCTGACCAGGATGATCACCAGCAGGCCGGCCAGTATCAGTCCCACTCCGGCCGCCAGGATCATTTTGGGTTTGGTGTCTTGGTTCTGAACACATGGGGTGAAGTCGGAACCAAAGATCAGGAAGAGGAGGCTGAGAATACCCAGCATGCAGCTGAAGATGGTGAAATTCCTGAAGGCATGAATTTCATTTGATAACCTGGAGTCATCATGCGTTCTGCACTCCTGCAGTCCAGTTCTGTGCTTCACACACTCCTTCCACAGACCTTGATGGGTTTCCTATCCACCCAAAGACAGAGAAACAGATATTTACATTCACTTTATTAAGCATGCTCTGATATTAAATCTGATAGAAAAATCAAATGAATTTCGTTTTACTGAATGCCAGAATTGTTTTTATTTCTTTGAGAATCTTTTTAAACTCCCATCCAAACCAGAAGTTTATATAAATTAATATCACTGAGTCTTTAAACAGTTTAGAAAAGAACAGATGATGTCAGGAATCTGTACGTTTCTGATGAGGCGTAAAACTGCAAAGTCAATATTATATTTAATTTCTACAGCATTTTTATAACAGCTGTTATAAAGACATTCTGGTTAAATTATACAGTAACACAAAATAGTTGTTGATAAAGAAGCATAAAAGTTAACTAATCATAACTATCATGCTAATGTCAACCATAAATGCCTTTTGATTATATTGTTACCGTATCATCATTATGTTTCACAAGCCATTCAGGCAGGGCGCAGCAGATGATGACCCCAATCAGCCCAACGGCGTTGAGAACCACAAAAACCATCTGAACTGCTTTTGATGCCATTCTGCAAAAAAGAAAAATTTAAAAACTGGATTAAATCTTTTTCTGCTAAATATTCTTGGGTTTTCCTCTGGTTTTTGGTAACAATCATCCAACCATTGGCATCATCCTCTATGCAGGATTGGGCCTCTGGCAGCGATGTGCACAGATGGACACTAGAGGGCGCCAGAGCTCCTGCACTAAAAACCACAACAAGTTCAAGTGTTCTCAATTGTCAAAAATCTGTTTAACAACTTTAACACAGAACATGTTCAACATTTAGCAGCCTACATAAAAAAACAGCTACAAACAAGTCCAAACTTAACAGATGTAAATTCAGTGGTGGATTCAGTCACTTCCAAATTTCCAACTGTGTTACTGGGCAGCACACATCCACAAAATTTAAATTTGGTTTAGATCTATGGGTCTCCCATGGTGCAAGTTAGAGGCACATCCCCTTTCAACAGTTTGTAGTGGGGGATGTTTCTGAGCTGATCCTCTTCAAAACTTGTATATCTCTAAAGGTTTACAATGAAATTCTGTCTTTTGACTCCTCACCCAGTACCAAAGTTCAGGCAGCTTGGGAACTTGAACTGGGTCTAAATTTTGGAGAGGACTGGTGGAATAATGCTCTAAAGAAAATTCATATTGGTTTGGTCTAGTAGGCTTCCCCAGTCATTCTTGACTCATTTGGTCCAACATTTTTGAAAATATAAATTGGAAGTGGACTTGGTTGCTCCTAAAAAAAAAAAAAAAACTTAATAAATAATAAAGTAAGAGAAATTTCTTATAAAATTGTTCAGAATGTTTATCCTGTTAAAACATCTGGACCCTATGTGTACTTTCTGTAAAATTAATGAAGAAAAGCTTCTTCATCTCTTTTGGGATTGTAATTACACCAAAATATTCTGGAGAAATATGTCAATTTTCTTTCATAAAAAAAAAAATCTATTATTTTAATACATAAGGATGTTTTGTTTGGGATGGAGAAATGTAATCTTGTCAAAACAGAATTTTTATGTTAACTTTTTTATTATTTATGGTAAATATCATATTCACACCTCCAAATATTTACAGCAAAAGCCTAATTTCCAGATCTTCTATTAATATCTATATCGAATCCTTAAAATTAAGCTTAAATGCTAAAGCCATTCAAATCATAACTGTCCTTAAAGAACTGCAACCCTCGAGCACCGATTTGATTTTGACTTTGTAAAATAATTGTTCTATGTTCTGTAAAGCCCTTGGATGTTGTGTCTGTGTTTGTAGTTACTAGTGTTCTATGTTGTTCTTGTATGTTCCTTGTTTGCAAAAACAAAACAAAACTTTACAACATAGTAAGCTCAGCAACAGCAGGTGTGCTCCTTCATGTACAAGTGACTGGTGGATGGATGGTGACAAGATTTACCCAGAATGCACTTGGAGACAGTATGGACGATCCACTTGTAATTTTGTGTATCATAAAGTTAAATGTAAGAGTAAAAATAAAGCTAGTCATGAAGCACAACATTTTATTCAATATTTTACATCCACTGAGTCACTAAAATCAGTCGGTCTGGTAAAGTTTTTAGCAGCCATGAGTCAAGAATGCCTGGATCAGCTACTATATAACCTACTGGGTTAACACTCCTTATATTTCTACATACGCCATATTCAACAGAAGTGGGCCCACCTTCTCCAGCTCTCATCAGCCATGATACAGGATAAAGGGTTGGATCCCTGACGTCACATTTTGCCTCGCATCCAGGCCCCTTCTAGGCCCGGGCCAGGGGCCCGCCGCCCCTCCAGCCCCCCGTAGCTCCGCCCCTGACTGCGGTACGCTCCTCTGCTGCTCCGAGGCTCGACCGGATATAAAATCCATAACAGCCCAACCCCTTTAACAAAATTAGTAATTTAGATCAAAATTATCAAGTCAAAGTCCTGATTTTCAGGAATTGTATACAAACAGCTCTGTCTCCATTTATTGTGATATGACTGGTGTCATAAAGTTAATTATGCAAACATGAGTGTGCAGGTGCCCGTCCTGGATTGGCTCCCAGTATTTCTGTGTTTGTGAGGCTTGGTTTCTCGTTGCATCTGCGTGTGGCATATGGGGTGTGTGTGTGTGTGTGTGTGTGTGTGTGTGTGTGTGTGTGTGTGCGTGTGCGTGCGTGCGCGCGCTTTGCAGGTCTGCGTGTCGCGTGACAGTCGGTACCTTGTGGTTAGTCAGCTGTAATGTAAAAGGGGCAAATTCTCGCATCGAGCAAAACCAAAGTTTGAATCGCCTGATGGATTTGAACGCTACGATTACTTTCCTTCAGCAAACATATGTGAACTTGTTTTCCCACTGGCTATAAAAACAGCAGTTATAAAACCATTGATGAAAAAGTAACAATGTGGACAAATCAGTGCTGCAGAATTACAAGCCAATCCCCAACATTTGATCTATCAGGATAATTATTGAAAAAGCTGCTTCAACAGTGAAATGGTTTCTTAACAATGACCAGTCACTTTGATGTGTTTCAGTCCGTTTCTGTTTAGGCGAGTAATTATCTTTGTGCAGTTTTAGCAGGAAAAGGGAAATATGAGTCCTGGATGTTTTTAATATGTTCAGTGAGTTTTCCACTTTTAATTCCCCAAAACTCTCCACAGTACAGACACTGGCCTAGTCAAAGTGTTCATTGACATCCATAAAAACAGGCTGTGGGAGAACCACAGTGCTGGTTCTGCTGGACCTCAGTGTTGTTGGTTTGGACTCTCCGGTCCGGTACTCAACTGATTCAAATCTTACATGGATTCAGAATAACTTATTTCAGGCACTGAATGTAAATATGATGTGAGCCGCCACCACCCTACATGTAATAAACATGTAATAAATATAAAATGCATGAAAAAGTAAATGTAAGTTACAAAACATATATTCTTGATGGATTTCCAATAAATTTAATTGAATGAGACAATTTATTTTTTCTGCCTTAGTGAAATCTGTTGTCTGGATTAAAAAGCATAAAAAATGCCTACCTTTTTAAAAGACTCAGTTGGATCAGGACTTGGAGGTTCTTCTGTTAAACGAGCTGGATTATAGATTGGTGCCAAATATATGTGGTTCTTGCTTCACATATGTAGTTCAGTACGGAAGTTCAAAGCTGCCTAGTCTTTTACACGTCTGCTGTGGTTTCATGTTTTCAGCAAACGGAGCGTCTGCAGGCATCAGACAGGATGTCACTGTTTTTTTAGTTTGCTGTCACTGTTGGCAAATATTCAGCAGAGGGTTTTGATTTTGTTTACATTGTAAAACACTGCAAGACTCAATATCTGGATTTCAGGAATCAATTTGTCAAGTTTTGTGGAATTTTTTTAACCTAAAAACTGGGCTCTGCAGTTTTGTAGATTGGATAAACTCCAATCTACAAGTTTTTGGGGTAGTTTTGCAAAATATGCCAAAACTGCTTTATTTCTTCATTCCAGACAATAAAGAAAGAAAGCAGTAAAAGCTAAAATATCAGAAAGAATAAAGTCAAACTCTTAGCAATTTTTGTTTTTGAAACAGAAGATGTCTATAACAAATTGTGTTAGCTTGGAGGTTTTTTTTATTTAATAATTGTAGCATTCAGTGAATTTTGAGAAGGCCGGAACTGATGAGATGATTTATTAAAGCCATCTGAGCAAGCCATCAACCACCATAAGAGCTTCGTCCTTTATTGGCTGAAGCTAAAATTAAGATGATTTGTCTGTTTTTCTGACTTGCTGTTAGCCTTTGCATTTATGTCTGTTAACTTTTACTATGGCTACTTTATACAGAAGATTACCGAAATAAAAGTATTGACCCTTTGCACGTGACGTCATGCGCTGCAGAACTCCGCCCACTTCACCATGATGGACGTCAAAACATCGTATGCGCTCTCGAACAAGTAGAAGCCGTGAATGAACTGGTAAAACAACTTGGGAAATTATTTTCAGTTGCTCTGTTCAATACTCCCACTCCTCACTTCCTTCATGGCGCTTCGAACGACTAAGGTTGCATCTTGGACCCAAAGTGCAACCCAGAGTGACCCAATTCTGATATTTTTTCCATAATGTGACCTGTATCAGTTATCCAAGCAACATTGGCCTCTTGGATGTCTGTTGCCTATCCGATTCAAATGTGGCCAAACGTCCAGGTCACATTTTTCCCTGTTCTGTGCCCTGTTACGCCCAACTGCGAAGAAAAACAACAACCATAACAGACTATAATGAAGATTAAGTATGCTGGCTCCTGCAGGACAACAACATTAAAATCATAAAATATGCTCCACCATGTTTACTTCCTCAAACACTGAGCGCTACTTCTTTTTTATGGCGGTTGGTAAAACTGAACACACTCTCTGTGTGACGGTATTGCGCTGACATGGTCGCAAAGGGTCAATAGAACTTCAACAGTAGTTACATGAAACAGAAGCAACTACACTCAGTTGGCCTTTACAAAAATAATCAAACTTTTCTTTGAAACTGAGCCTTCTGTGTTTTTAGATGCTTTATTCCTTTTACAAACATGCCTGTTGTTACAAAATTGAAAAAAGTAGAAAATAAAGAGTACATGCCTCCCAGCACCAACAGTTCACATTAAGTTAAACCCTCTTGTCTCCCTGTCTATTGGACCCCAGTCCCTTCCATCCAGCCTCTACATGACGTCGTCGTATGCAGCTGAAGCGCTGTTGCTGTAGTAGGTGGCGGTTCCTCCAGAGCTGTTGGATCTGGATCTGCTGAAGCAGCAGAGCAGACCTCCAGCCAGGATCAGTATCACACCAGCTGCCCAGCCGATATAGATGCACACTCCCAGTTCTCTCTTCTCGGAAGTCGGGTACATTTGGTCGTGTGTGTCAGTGTTGTGTGCCGACCAGCTGACCGGGATGATCACCAGCAGGCCGGCCAGCAGCAGGCCCACTGCGGCCATCAGGCTGAGTTTGGGCTTGGCCTCTTCGTTCTGAACACATGTGGTGAAGTCGGCACCAAAGAGCAGGACGAGGAGGCTGAGCCCACAGAGGATGCAGCTGATGACGGTCATGGGCCGGCCGGCCTGAAGGTCAGAGGGTAACACCTGCAAGGAGTCGTACGCTTTGCACTGCAGCTGTCCAGTGCTCTGCTTCACACAGTTCATCCAGAGACCTTCATACATCACCTAACAAAGACACAGACATTTACATAACCATAAAACACATTTTCTTCTCAGTGCCTGACATTAAATCGGATAGAATAACCAAATTAACTTCTATTTACACAACATTTAATTTCCCTTTATTAATCCCAAGGGGAAATTAAGTGTTGTAACTCATGAAGAATCTAAATTTATGAGTTACAACATTTAATTTCCCTTTGGGATTAATAAAGTATTTTTGAATTTGAATGCCAAAGTATTGGGAGAGTTCCTATTTTGAGAATTAACTCTCTTTGATCTTGCAGAAGTTTACATGATCTAATGTTACTAAGTCTTTAAATAATTTAAAAAAGAAAAAGATTAGAGACTTCTGTTTTGTGTGGTCCTATGCAAAACAAATTACATAAATTAAAATAGCCTGAAGTTTATAAGTGAAACTTTGAAGCCCAGATGATGATGTCAAGACTTTTCTGATGAGATTATTTTTCGATATGGATATTATGGATATGTTTCAGCCAAAGACAACTCAGTGCTTTTACATGGGAATTAACAACAGCATACTTGAAGATAAATCAGATTTTTATAATAAAGTTAACGGTAGGCAACATAAAATAAAAGGTTTTTAACGTTGTTTTAAAGGAGCTCGGTGTGGGAGCAGTCCTGCAGTGGACAGGAAACTTGAGGCTCCTTCAGCATGTTTCGTTCTGATTCTTGGAGTGGTGTGTAGGTTTGATTCAGATGATCTTAAAGGTCTTAATAGTTTATAGGACTGAAGAAGACCAAAGTTGAAGTCAGGGGTCTGACTAGGAAGTGCTCTGAAAACTGCTGGTGAGATTTTAAACTCTATTCTTTGAGCAGTAGGTAATCATCATAAGGACCTCAGAATTGGACTCATACGCTGATATCTTTATTTTTGTAAGCACTCTAATAACAATATCTTCTGTCTTAATTTATTCTTTTTTTAATTGTTTTGATAGTTCTGGGAAAACAGCTTTAAAGTAACCGAGCCTGCTAAACACAAAAGCATGAGATGAGAACTAAATCAGAGCCAAATTCTGTTGGGACATCAGTTGTCCAAGTTTGGCAATATTTTTTTTTATGTTAGATTTGTAGGTGATGAAGACTTGGCACATTGTTTAAACCATAAAACAAGACTAAACATACAATAGTAGCTGACTAATAAACCATAAAAGTTACCTAAACACAACTATGATCATTGCAACCATAACAAGCCTTTTGATCGTCTCTTTTTAACACAATATTTAGTTACCTGTGAGGTAACGATGTTTGGTCCTGTGAAGGAAGACATTTTCCACTGAGGGACGGTGCAACACCTCATGACTCCAATCAGCCCGAGGGCCCCAAAGGCCAGACAAACCATCTGAGCTGCTGAGGATCTCATTCTGCAAAAGATAACAGCAGAAAGCAAATAATTAAAGAAATTATTCCCTGTCTTCCTCCGGCTTTGGTAATGGTCAACCATCCATCGTCATCCTCTTATTGAGGGTTGGGTCACTCAGGTGGTGGGATCATTCTGGGGGATCCTGTGTTTTTTCCAGGCCACAAGGAATATATAGTCTCTACAGGGGGTTCTGGGTCTGCCCTGTTTTCCTGCTAGTGGGACGCCGATGCCCGATAAAGCGGACAACAGGAAGGGCCAGGCTACATTTGGTAGCCTGTATTTGAGATCCAACAGAGACAATGGAGACAAACAGCAGTTGTTACAAACTTACCCCTAAATCCAAAGCAGGAAGCGTTGGAAGATTTGAGGATTGTTGTCCAAAGACGGCATATAATTCCTGTCCAGATCTCACGACAAATGGAAATGTGTGTGAGTGATTATGTCCTTTGCCGTGTCTTATCCAGTCCTGACCTTAAGGTCATGTTTAAACAGATCCATTGTTTGGAAACTGCTGGTGCTTTTGGATATTGATTTGGGAAACGTTACACAGTTAGACAGCACTTCGTCACTGCTTAGGCCGCACCACTAAGGCTACCTTCACACAGCAGGTCTTGATGCTCAGTTTGGATTTTTTTATGTGGCTCTTCATGCAACTAATTGCACCACCACCATCAGCCTGAACCGTTGATACCAGGCAGGACGGATCCAGGCTTTCATGCTGTTGATGCCAAATTCTGACCCGACCATCCGAATGTTGCAGCAGAAATCCAGACTCATCAGACCAGGCGACGTTTTCCATCTCCTACTGTCCAGTTTTGGTGAGCCTGTGTGGATTGTAGCCTCAGTTTCCTGTTCTTAGCTGCCAGGAGCAGCACCCGGTCTGGTCTCCTGCTGCTGTAGCCCCTCCAGGTTCAACATGTTGTATGTTCAGAGATGCTCTTCTGCAGACCTCGGTTGGAACGATTTGAGTTACTGTTGCTGTTCTATCAGCTCCAACCAGTCAGCCCATTCTCGTACATACACATACATCAATGTACCTCCAGTTACAAATTACCTTCAGATCAGAGCTGAAAATACATACACACTGATTAACATAAATTAATAGTTGGAATAATTTAAGTCATTCGATTAATACGCATTATTTTTGTACTCCTTATTTTTTCTCTTAAATTGTGCAATATTAGTACTTTCCTTAATTTCTCTCCACAAAATGTATCCACAAAATCCCTCTTTAAACTGATATCACATGCATGTAAGAGGTCTGTAAACTTAGTTTCTTTAAATTACATTTTCCTCTCAGGTCACACCTTCACTCTCTACACTTATTACATTTTGAATATTCTTTGGATGTATATTCTTTTTAGCTTTAAACATCAACTCATATTTCAGTTAAATAAGTTTTTTCTTAACATTGAAATAAGTAAAGAGGAAATTATTCTTACCTTTATCAGGTGCTGCAGATTCTTCAGATTTTAAACAATATGGATCAGAGACTGAAATAATGATCTATATGTGGTTCGGACTTCTCTTATACAAACTGAATAAGGAAATTCAAAACTGTCTTGACTTTTTTGCATCTACAGTGGTTCCTGTTCTCAGCAAATTGTATCTTGTGGGAATTTAAGTTGTAAGACATAAATTGTGCTTCTTCTTTTTAAGATGACACGCACTTTTGCAGACTTTATGCAAAAAGTTTTTACTTTCGCTGTCAAAGTTTTGTGAGCCTCACAAGATGAATATAAACATTTATCAGTATTTTTGATCTTTTTATAAATCAAATTAACTAGACTTTGATTATCTTTATAAGTTTTACAAAGTAAGGAAATTCTTTGAATTAGGGGAAGTTATGTATTACCAGCAAAAACGGAAACATCAGATAAAAATTTCAGACTAGATTGCAACATCCAACAAATACTGCTGTGTGTTTGTGCCTACATGAAGAAAACCCTCTAAATATGATTTTATGACAGACCAACCCAGACTTGTGCATCATTTTATATTTGAAGCAACATGTTACAAAATGGAGCTAACAGCAAGTCAGAAAAACAATAATGCTGCATTTTTTTGTTAGTGATTATAACTTAGCTTTTTAGCTTCAAATTATATACTTTTAAAAAATGCAAACTTCTCTGAAACTGAATCTGTCTTTGGTGTTTTTCAATACATTTTATTCATTTTTCCAAACATATCTGTATCTGACAAAGCTTTAATAATTTCTTGTGATCAATGTACAAAATGAGAAACAAAACTAGTTTTATGAATAGAAAGTAATGCAGAAGCTTGAGAAACACAACAATGAAAATGTTTCCTGTGGAAAATCTGGTTGGCAGCAAAGAAATCATGAATATAAAATGGACTAAATCAGGAAACAACATGATCATTTGGGTTATTGTCTTGTAATTTGCCTGTAACAATCCATGTAATATGTCATTTAGCTGCTTAGAGAGACTTCTTCATATGTCTTTTACATTATTATGTCACAAATTTCTAGAAAATTCATGGAAATTCAACTATTTTGCCAAGATAGAAAAAAAAACAGCTCAGAAACTGTTGGAAATAAAACTTTACAGAGCTCATGCCATCCAGCACCAACTGTTAAAATTATGGAGATAATAATCAGATTCAGATATTCTTAGCATAAAGTATTTACAGTTTCTGGTATCACACGGCCTCTACACGTAGTTCTTGTTTGGCGCTGAAGCGCTGTTGCTGTAGTAGGTGGCGGTTCCTCCGGAGCTGCTGGATCTGGATCTGCTGAAGCAGCAGAGCAGACCTCCAGCCAGGAGCATCAGCACGCCGGCTGCCCAGCCGATATAGATGCACGCTCCCAGCTCTCTCTTCTGGGAGTCGTGCACCAATTGGTTGTGGAAGTCTCTCACAGTGTTGTGTGCCGACCAGCTGACCGGGATGATCACCAGCAGGCCGGCCAGCAGCAGGCCCACTGCGGCCGCCAGGCTGATTTTGGGCTTGGCCTCTTCGTTCTGAACACATGTGGTGAAGTCGGCACCACAGAAGAGGATGAGGAGGCTGAGCCCACTGAGCATGCAGCTGATGATGGTCATGGCGCGGGCGGTCTGCAGGTCAGAGCCTAACTGCAACAGGGAGTCGTACACTTTGCACTGCTGCTGCCCAGTGCTCTGCTTCACACACTCCATCCACAGACCTTCTTGGCTCTCCTACACCCAAAGATGCAGAAGCAGACATTCACATGCACTGTATAAAACACATTTTCTTTTCATTTCCTGTAACCCAGTAAACACTGTCAAACTTGTAAGCAATCTAGGAAAGGCCAAATGATGTCAGGACTTTGAGGGTTTCTGATGAATTCACAAGATCTGGATTAAGTAGAAGCAAGTTTGTTGCTTTGTTTGGAGGAAAAATGTAGAAAACTTGTAAGTCACAGAACATCAACCAAACTTGATTTATATTCTGTGGATGTTTTGCACCACGAGGGACTGGTGCACTTCACATGGTCATGAGGAAATAACGATGTGGAAATGCTGAAGCAGGAACCCAAGACAGGAAGTTAAAGCTTGGGCTCCAATGGATCTTCCACTTGGACAGTGACCCAAAGTATGCAGCCTTAATAGTTACTAATGGACCACTGTATGTGCTGTACAAATGCCCAGGAGCTCTGCTTGGGTTGCTAAGTAACGGGCGGAATTCCACTGGGGTTGTTAGGTAATGGGCAGAATTCCACTGGGGTTGCTAGGTAACGGGCAGAAATCCACTGGGGTTGCTAAGTAACGGGCGGAATTCCACTGGGGTTGCTAGGTAACGGGTGGTGCCTGCTGATCTGGAAGGTTTTTGGAAGAACACATTTTCTAGACATGAACTTATTGCCCAAAAACAGCTGGATGGCTTTTTGAAACTCTTTTGGCTGTTTTCAGAAGTTGTTGAGACCAAAATGTTAGTACAAAAATGTGAATTTTGTATCATAGGTCCTATTTAAGAATGTTCAGTATGTTTGAGCCAAGAAGTGAAGATTAAAGGGCAATTAAAAAACTATTTTCTTCAGTCATTGTGGCATTTAGCCACTATAAACAGGTAATCCTAACTGACATTAAATAGTGAAACCTACAATAATAATATTTAAATTACTTCCTGCTTGCACCATAAAATATTATTGCATAATTGTCGAGTAATAAAACATAAAACCTACAAAAACAACTTTTCTGATCACTTAAGTCATAAGATATATTTTGTTCTCTGAATCATAAATGCTTACCTGCGCCGTCACAATGTTGTTTCCTATGAAGGCTGACACTTTCCAGAGAGGAAGGGCGCAACAGACGATGACCCCAATGAGCCCGATGACCCCGAAGGCCACACATGCCATCTGAACAGCTGACGATCCCATTGTGGAAAAAAACTACATGCATAAAGGTAAAATAAATGTTAAATGTCAGTGGGGGTTTTGTTTCCTTTTTTTTTTTTTTTTTTTTTTTTTTTACAAATTTTGAATTTGTTAGGCATTAAGATAAGATTTTCTAAAGCTACCTGAATTAAAAACAATGTTCAGAATAAATCTTTTATTGTTTCGCTCATTGTTACAGTTAATCTGTGTGTTTGTCAAAGCTTCAGCTGGATACACTCCCTCAGACAAAACACTTATTATGTGGTGCATGTCGCCACAGAATCTGTGGTTTAAGCAACGTTTTCAAATCAAAGTCGTGCCCAGACAGGCCTGAGATCTCCACCCATTAAAGGCTCGGCCACTGCCTCACAACGTCCAGCAAGGGAGATGCAATTAAAAATAATTGTGACCATTTTGTGAGTATTTGATCACATCAGGGTACCTGAAATCAGACTTTTTAATACCAATGTGTGCAGAAGAATCAGTCAAATTTGATTTAAATGTTAAAATATCTTGGATTATTCTTTTTTATTATCAGACATTAACTATTATTTTTGATTAAATTGAGATTCTTTAAATCAGAAATAGTAAAGAAGCAACAACCCATATGAAGGGTGGCACAAAAAATTTAATTAATTTAATTTATTTAATTTAGTTTTGAACATTTAAGGCAAATATACTCCAAACTGGATGATTAAATTCCAGAGTAAAAGAGAAAAAAATAACTTATCAAAGATTCTTTTAAATACCTTTAAAACATTTATTTCTTTATTGTTTTCTTAATGTTCTTTCTCATATTGCATGAAAAGACTTACCTATTTGTCTTCTTTGAACACCTGTAGAGGTCTGGAGGCTTTTGTTGAAGATGTTTTCCGATGCGCGGCCGTCTGGAAGCTGCAGTGTGAGGAAACAAACGTTACTTATAGAGGAATGTCAGGTGTAGGCGGAGCTACACTCCAGCCTGAGAAACACTGAGGAAATATGGAGCTGAAACCAGTTCTGACCTGTTCATGGTCCCCTCTCTTTTCCCCTCTTTTTGGAAACGGAGTTCACAAATTTCCTGAAAAAAAAAAAGAAAAAACCAACAAGAAATAAAATCTCATGCATGTTTTTATTCTGTTGCAGCAGTGATGCTGCGTAGTTCCTCCATTTGTATCCATCACAAGTTGAAAAAAAAAACACTAAATGAATCATCTGGAAGATTGGCAGTTTTCTCCATCAGTTCACCCAGTCGGCACAAACAAATCCCACGCAGGTTTCCATAGCTATCCCAGCTCCCTCCACACCTGTCTGTGTGGAAATCGATGACGAAGAGGAGGAGACGAAGACGAGAAGCAGAGACCGTGAGGTCTTGACTCATCCAGCTGGTTTCATGGATCACGAGAAAGATGAATGAAGAAACAGGGAGGAATGTCGGCTTTAAAAATAGACGTGTTGGTAGTTTTGGTTTGCATAACATCAAAATCAAACATTAAAAATAATCTGATAAAGAGAAAATGTAGAAAAATTGAAAGATTTTTATAGTATGAGACAAATGTTGGTGTGTTTTAGCCTCAGTTCATTAATGTTCTGATTTTTAACAGTAATAATTCTGATTCTCACTTTGAATTAATCTGATTATTTCTGACATCAGACATTATTTAACCTATTGAGAAAATAAAGACATTTAACCAATCTGGCCAAACGTTTGTGCCATCTTCCATCCAGCATTAGAGATGATTGAGAAAGTCTTTGTCAACAACAGGATTGAATTTTCATCCTTTGTTCTTCAAATTAAAGACTTTTCCCAACATAAATTGTCTGTTTAATCATCTCGACCTGAGTTTTATAGGAAACTTTCTTTTTTAACCATTCTTGGCTGGATTTGAATGGAGTTTATTGTCCTACATAAACACACGAGCTAGCTTAAACCCTGAAAGACCAAGTGTTGTAATATTACAACATCTTTATTTCAAACCACAAAGAGTACAAATATTGACCTTTCTTTTTTTTTAACCCAAACTTGGAGATTAAACCTCATTGATCGATGGTGGAACGCTACTGGAAATTAGCCAAACAGAACTGGGTCGGAACCAGTTGCATTTACTGGACTAACTTTCTTATTTTCACCAGCAATAATTCACAGACATTGATTCTTACTTTGAATTAACCTGATTACTTCTGATATCAGATAATATTCAAAAATAAGGGAAAAAACACATAAACCATCATGACCAGGTGATGAATCAACCATATGAGATAACTGAGTTGAATGTTGGTCTTTTATTCTTCAAATTGTTGAGTCGTCTCAACTCAACTTAAGTTTGGACTTTTGTAGGGAACTTCATTTTTTTTGATCAATTAAAATCTGGATTTGATTTTTCTTTGTTATTGTTCTGCTACATAAACACAAGCTCACTTAAAAGCCTGTACAACATTTCTATTTCAGAGAAAAAAGGAACAAATGTTGAGATTATTTTTCCTGATTTTTGTTTTTTTTAACCCAGACTTTGAGATTGAACCTTATTGTTGGATTGGAAGTCAGGTTGTAAAAAGTTACTTGTAGGAGTAGTTTTACCACGCTGTACATTTTACCTTTGCTTGAGTAATATGTTCCTAACACATAGCTACTTTTACTCTAGTACATTTTCTGGATACTTTACTTATGGAGATTAACTTCAATAAATGAAGAAAAATGTTTTAAAAATTAATGAGATACAAACACAGTTATAGATGACATTAAAGTCCGACTTGTTTTTCTGAAGTCTGATTTTTTGTGTGTTGTTCATTCTACTGAAATATGTGACGACATTCAGATTTCTGGTTTTTATGACTCCAAAGCGACTCAGATGCACAGAAGAAGAATGTTGACATCACAAATCAACGCTGCTTTTACAGCCATAACGATGGATGCTGATGCCCAAAAATAAGATAAAGAAGCTAAAAAAACAAAAAAGTGGAAAGAATAGCAACAATGTTTAGCAACAGAGTCTGAGTTTGGGATTGTGATGTGATGCGCTTCACCGATGGACTCCATTAATAATTTCATGATTACGATTTTTTTCAGTCATTTTTACGTCCGTCCAGCTTCCTCTGGTGCAGAATGATGATGCACATTAATGGTGTAAAAGTCAGATTAATAAAGTCGGATTATTCAGACTGCAGACGACTTGAAAACAATCTAATACGTATCTGAATTAGTTTCACATATGGAAGTGGAACAAATCAAATTTTGTTGGAGGTGAAAAGATCAGAATCTGGTCACATATTGGGCAAAAGAACCTGCTGTGTGATTAAACGGACTTTAACAGCTGGATTAAATGGAAGATGACGGATGGATGGATTGTGCTGTTCTCAGCAGAAAGCTGAACATTTGTTTAATTTTTTCTGTGTAGAACTTTCTTCACCGCAGGGATGAAACACAGTTTGTTTCATTCATGAGAGACGGAGTCCTGCACTTACCAGCTCAGATGTCACTGAGGCGGTTTCCAGATGCTAAGCGGCTCCTCGTTGAGGAGCACCATCAGGTCAAAAATTTATGGATCTGGGTTTGCAGAATCCTGCAGTAAGTTGATAAATATTCATATATTAACCTTTATTTCTGACAAAGTGATCGATCTTATTAAGAGGGTTAAAAAGCTCATTAACGTAAAGTTGCTCAGTAAAGCAAGGAAAAAAATGGACAAACTTGCAGATATCCATCCTGGAAGCCGAAGGAAGACTGAACGCATTCCTGAAAAGATTTTTTCACTGCAGCTTTCCTGCAGTTACACCTCAAGTGAACGGCATAAGATGTCATAAGAGTCAATCCAAGCTATAATACAACCACAAGCTAGAGAGTCTGAGTTGCACAGGCCTGCTAATCTGGTTCAGACGTGCTGGAACATAAGTTGCAGGACAGTTACTCTTGAGGAGTTGAAGACGTCTGATCTGCTGAGATTAGGCAAAACGAATGTCCTAATATTCCTCTCTCTGGATGCGTCAACCTTGTGAAATGTTAGAGAAGACTAAGCAGCAAAGAGCTGCTATATAAAATAGAAGAAATGCCAAAATTGTAAGGCTTTAAATATCTTTGTGAGAGGTTATACTGATAGTTGAAGTGTTCATGACTATGTTTTGTTTTAATTTATATTTTAAATGCATAAATCATGTTTTAAATACTATTTTACTTTACACAGGTGTTATTCTTATTTTTTAAGAGAAAATCTAATTTCTTCAGAGGATAACTAACGCATGAAACTCAGATTTATTCCATTTTTATTATTTAAGCATTGTCTAATGCAAATTGCTTTTGGTTTCTTTCTAAATTGAATTGAGCACTTTGAGATTGAAGATTTCAAAGTGAATTACCTATCAATAAATGATAATCTTGCTAGCTGGCTAATTGAAGTACACTATATGGATTAATTACACAGATGACAATTTGCTCAAGTCCTACTTATACCTTGTGAAAATGTTACATTTAACAAAAGAAAATTACACCAGACCAATTTCTGTCCATTTTTATTAGCATGCATTAATGAATATGTTTTTTTTTCCTGACAAATACGGTGAAAAAATTCAGTCAGTCAAGCTTTTATTCATGTTTTAAACAACTTTAAAAACATACACATTATAGACTTTCAGAGAGTTTAAAATAAAATAAAATTGTTGGGTAAATAAAGTCGCGAATGGTTAAAAGCCATCAGCTGTGGTTTTAATAAATTATGACAGTCTGCAACTATCAATTTTACCACTAGGTGGCGACGTTTAAAGCTTTTCATAAGCTCACCCTTGCAGCCGTTAAAAACTGCTGTGGGCGGAGTTTATTTTTAAGACAGACATAGCAAATAGCCAATCAGATGCAAAGGAAATGGGTTGAGTGACCAATCAGAGCTTGAGAAGGCTGGGAAGAGTTGGGTTTGATTCAGCCTCGTATGTCACCGTAGACGCTCGGCTGAAACGGCCCTATTTTAAAGTTCCTGGGGGCGAAGAGTGGAGCGACCTGGACAAAGCAGGAGAAAACGGGGCCAAGATTTAACCTTGTTAATAAATAACTCATCGTTTTCCGTACCGGGAGGGCAGTTGCCGCTCTAGAGAAAAGGTTCGGGATCATTTTGTTATCTTAATGTGTTATTACAGCGCTTAGCAGTCGCGGTACTGTTGTGCGGATGCTACTAAAAAAAGTGTAGCTTATGCTACTTGGATAGCAGCTTTAGCTCGGATTAGCTCATTGATTGTGCTCCTGTTGCTCGGTTTTGTCGGTGTCGTTTGCTTCTGAATGCGACCGACTACATCTGTAAAGCAAATTAATAACACTTGGTCCATCTTCTCTTGTTCTTTGTTTTGAATTTTAAAGAGGTGCGACGCATAAAACCGAGGTCTCACTTCCCGATAACGTCAGAAAATTCAGAAAATGGCGGAGCCGGACAAATTAAACATCGACTCTATAATTCAACGTCTTTTGGAAGGTAAGGGGAATCCAAACCAATGTGAAGCTTTATTTTCTTTCGATGACGCTGTGGTCAAATGTTTTTAGACCTTTACCCGGGAGATCGGTGCTGTGTGCGGTGAAGTAGCCTACATTAGACCGGCGCTGCTCTTATTGGCAGGGGTTGGATTTTGCCAGATCAAAGGTTGAAACTGAATCAACTCTGCGTTTCATAGATTTATTTCTGTTTGTACAGAGAGTTCCCTTTTTATCACAGCCTGTTCTCACTCTGTTTTCATTGGAGATGTATTTCGGTTGTCAAATTAAAAGAAATGCGTGACGTTACAGTGACGTATTGTAGATACATTACGTTTTTGTCTTTTATGAATCTATTCTGCTAAACTAGTTTCATCTACAGACTATATAAGGTCTTTTAGAAAGCGAAATCTTAACTTGACGCGTAAATAATTTATGGATTTATTTTTACGTAAATACTATAAACAAAATTAATAAAAATCATTGTATTAACTCCTAACATCACTTTTTCCTCACATCTTTAACTTGCTGCTTCTGGTGAAAATAGCTTTACACATTCACAAAGAGAACTATTTAAATTTTTATTTTTATTGCTTACAAGTACTGGAAGCCCTAAGTTTAAACAGGAATAAAGAACATTGCTAAAAATGCATAAATGGGAAGTTGAGTGAAAGAAAAAAGTTCAGTTCCAGGTTCACAAGTAACAGATTTGTGCTTCTAAAGATGCTCGTCACAATTAACCAGTTGCATGATAAATCAAAATGATATTCTTTGAAGAGATGTCATAACCCATTTTATTTATGGTTTTGGTTGTTTGTTGTTTTTATTTCTGTTTTATGTATTGCTTTTGTATGTTTTGGATATTTAAAATATCTTCCAGTTCGAGTGTTAAGTGCTCTTTACAAAACTAAAGTTTATTGGGGTTTTTTGGTAGGGTGAAATTGACTACTTGAAAAAAGTCTGGAAATAACAATAATTTCATTTATTTCAAAATTTACTGGGGAAATTTATCATCCAGCAAAATTTGTGATCATGACAGGCCTAGATATCACTTATATTTGTGTTGTTTTTCTTATATTTAGCCTAAACAAGCGTATCAGAAGTCCACGCTGTTGGCTTAAGTTTTCTGAATAGAAAGAGGAATCATTATTTGACCTGTCAGATTGTGATCTCTAGCTGATTGGTGTGTCTGTGATGTTTTACTGCTGGATTTGGTGTTTATATTTGTAGAAACAAAACTTGTGCTGATCTAGCGCCTGGAAGAGTTCAACCTTAAACTTCCACTGATTCAGGAAGTGGTAAAAATATTCTGCACAAACGTGTCACGGCTTCAGAAAGCATGATCACTAATTTCCATATATTGAGTAAACCTGCCCCACACGTCAGTTTTATGCTTTTAGGAATAAACAGTTTGTTTGTTTTTCCCCCACGCTGTTAATCTTTGGACTCAGGCTTTACATTTAGAGTTGGAGTCAAACCAGTACAGTAAAACACCTCCATAGTGCTTGTAGACCCTAAATCGGCTGCTAATTACTGCGATATTCAGACTTTTCCCAAAGCTTAATACTTCACCAGACGTATCGGCTTAAGTTATTTATCGTTTCATATGCAAGATGCGAAACAAAAAGCTGCAGTTTGTGCATGCGTGAGCAGATACAGAACAAGGAAACAGCCTAACATCTCACTGTTATCAGTGAGAAAACAGCAGAATCACCGTCGACTCACAGCGACTGCAGGTGTGTTTTCTGGTGTTTGTTTACACCACATAACTGGGAGCCAGCAGAGCATAAACATGATGTACATCAGCTCTTAAGGAGAGTTTGAAAGGAAACAGCTGACTAACTCTTTCAGCACTTTGTCCTTTTCAGAATCAACTCCAAATGTTTTTGTTTAGTATGAAGTTTTGGGTGGAGAGATTTAAGTTTTCTAAAAGTAACTTGGTAACCCATTGTTATGCTGCATTGTTCAGAGAAACTAGTTCAGGAAAATTGTTCTTTCAAAGTAATTCAGATTTTTTTTTTATTTCTGTGTACACACAATAAAAAGTTTGCTGGATGATAAATTATCCTATAAATTATCCTATAAATCTATTAATCACGTGATAAATTAAAACGAGCTCAAATATTTCTATCATTTTTCCCTTTTTTCTCTTTCTACAAAAACTAGATGATACAAGTTTTAAGTCTGGCGATTTGGTCTCAATTAGCCTGTAAGGGGTAACTTTAACTTTGTTGATTTGTTGTTTTATTTTTGGATATTGAAAGTAGCTTTCACTTCTAGTATTAAATCTTCATCAGAATTTAAAGTTTTTGGATCTTTGCGAATGAGTTCTGGCATTATTATGCCACTTGTTATCATTTATCGCAATAACTTCTGGGACATTTTTTTTCCGGTAAAATTTGTTATGGTAAATTTGAGACCATTTTTAAGTAATATATTGATTATAGCATTATGCTGCAGGTTCACCGTCTCAAAGATAAATGAAGTTTTATTTTGTAAAGAGCATCCAGCACTGGAACACGGTTTGAACATAGAAAAGATAAATAAGGCAGAAATAAAAACCACACATCCAGAACCAAAAATAAAATGGATTATAAACTAATTTGTCCTTAAAAAATATATTAATCATCAGAATTGCAATTATTGAGCTCATTTTAATTGATCATGCAGTTAATTGGTTAATTTCCTATTGCAGCAGGCTCATATAAAGACAATAAATCTCAACTTCAGTCTTATTGAAAAAATGAAAACTACATTTCATAATGAGGAGGGTTAGCAGTTGCTCAGGTTGATCTAATAGCTGGTTGGTCTTGTTGGCAGAATCATCCAGACTCTGTCGGGTCGTAACTTCTCAGTGGAGATGTTACTGTTGTTGTTTATGGGTCTAAAATAGGGGTGCACCAATTTATGGCACCAATTCCCTTGGTTTTGGGTTCTGTGCTCTTCTGTTCTCCCTTAGAGAGGTTTGACTGAGACCAGGCACGTCTGAGCGTCTGCAGTTAGCAATAGTTGCCCCACTGTTGCAAACTCTGTAGCTTTCTTGCTACATTTAGCCACATTTCAGATTTAAAAAATTGGTATTGGCCAAATTTAGAATCAGCAGGTCAGACTCTTTAAAGGTCGGGGATCGGCCAGAAAACTGCAATCAATGCATCCCTAGGAAATCTCTATAAATGGGGCTGCCACTGTTTGTTTCTCCTTCCACTCAATTTCTATTAATACGTTTTGTTGCGTCCAGCACCTTTAGCAGTGACGTTTTCTGGCCTACCTTTTCTCTGGAACGTTGTCACTAGTTTACTTCCTTACAGCTTTATTGACTAAACTGGAGGAGGAAAAGATGCATTTCTGTTATAAAACTAAATATGTGCTCTTTAATTAACTAAAAAACTTAATTTTGAGTTTTTGTGAACTGAAAAATTAAAAAATTGCTAATTATTCTTTAAAATTCTTTACAAAAGTTACAACAGTTTTCTTCTCCATTTGTGTGTGTGTGTGTGTGTGTGTGTGTGTGTGTGTGTGTGTGTGTGTGTGTGTGTGTGTGTGTGTGTGTGTGTGTGTGTGTGTGTGTGTGTGTCTCTTTAATTGGGTCAGAACCTGAGCTCATTGGCTGGTTCTGTTTGTGGCGTTCTTCTATAACAAACAGCAGAAGGTCTGATTCCTCTCCAATGAGTACGACATTTCCAAAAGCTGAAGTCTCAAAGTATTTACTTTAAGTTGAACAAAGATCGGGACGCTACCTATGATATTATTTTATTTTATTTTTTAACAAACGACACCTGGCAGAAACGACATGAAGGAAAAACATGAATTTAATCCATTTATTGCTGATTTCTGTTTCCTTTTGTTCGACGTTTGAAGCTGCAGCCTCCTGGTTTTAATATGCAAACTTTATGCAAAAGCCAAAATAAATTTCCCTACATCCTATTTAATAATATTTACTGGTGTAGATAATTTGAATGTCTGAGTCCAGTTTGAGTAGAAAAAACTAGAAAGCCAATGTTTCATTTTGCACTCAGACACAAGACTCATTTTTAATGCATTTTTAGTTAAGTCCAGTAATATTTCACACTGTGAATTCGTTTGATTTTGTTTATAAATGTTTAATAATAAGAGCTCAGTTTTATTTAGGGTTTTTTTTATCATGCTGTAAGTAGCAATTTATGGATTTCTACAAAAATGTTTCCGTTGTAGAATGCAGAAAATGACCTTTTATTTTTATTTTTTTTTAAATCTAAATAAAATCATTTTTTCAAGAAATAATCAAAAATTCAAAGATTTGTGATAAATAACTCGCATCAGCCATAGAAGTAATTTAAGTTTGGTAAAGAAAAGATTCTCACTTGGTGCCTTTTTTATTTTGATGCATTTATTTTTTAGCTTTTTCAGAAAAAGCTGTTGGTATAAAAATAGTTTTGTTTTGCTCTTCCACAGGAAAGTGGTTGTTTTGGTGAGTTTAGTCCCTTTTATTTATGTAACAGGAATATTTTATCTGGACCTAACCTGGTTTCACTTTGTGCTGCTTTTTTAGCATTCCTGAGCTTTAGGCAGTGAGGAACGTTAAACCTGGAAACATCAACAGAGAGAAATACTTGAGTTTAAAAACAATTTAAAAATAATTAAGAGTTGGTGAAACCTTGTTTTTAGAGAACATTAGAGATTTGATTTTTCACATTAATATCATCTTAAAAACTAATTTTGTAAATGTTTTTGTACTCGTCAACACGTTATTTTATCAGTTACTTATTGTTAAACCATGAGCCGGTTAGGCCTGCTGCAATAAATCAATTAATTGCATGATAAGTTAAAACAAGCCCAATAATTTACACTTTTATGATTTGTTGTTTTTCTCTGTCTACCAGAAACTGGATGATAAAAGTCTTCAGTTTGGTAAAATCTAATCCTTTTTCTAAAGGACAGTTTTGTTGACAGAGACTTCATGATTCATTTTATTTGTTGTTTATTTTGTTTTATTTATTTATGTTGGATATTTAAAATGTCTTCCAG